AACATTTTCAATGATATACAATACATATTTTCTATGCGCATTTATGATTTTGATACAATGGTAAATGTCAAAAGGCTTTTTATGTTCCAGTTTAATTTACAATTGTATTTTTGTAAGCACAATTGTTTTGGGTTTGCCAATAGAAGTGTGTAGTTTAAGAGTTTTACGAACCCTTGAAGTTGTAAGAATTGGATGAAGTTATTCATGGTTGAGTTGACGGAATATTATAACTGACGTTGTAAGTGATTGTGTTCAATTAGACAACATACTTATATACTTATTTATATGTATGTACATGTATGGTAAATTGAAGTCTGATTTTAAAGGTGAAGAGTGGGTTTTCCTTTTTTGTTCTTTTTTTTTTTTCTCTTGATGGTAATACAAGGTTGTATCATGTACACCAACAAATATGGTTAGGGGAATGTGGTAAAATTTTCGTGTTGATTAGACATTTATAATACAGATGAAATACTAGGCTTAGGTTAGGGTAAATTTATGATAATTGTGGAATGTTCTTTGATTCAAACTGCTCTTTATTATACTTGTATTTTATTATTCTAGTGTAAATTAAGAGCAAGGATGATTAATTTGAGGAAGTTTATATAGGTTTGCATGTTTTTGCGAAAGTTACCTTATCCACATGTAGCTAGTATAGGACAATTTTAAGCTTCGGTATCTGATTTTATATGTAGGTAATAGTGGTCATATTTGTTATATTGTAATGTTATTCGTTAATGTTTCAATATCTAATGTAACGTTTTTTCAGTTATTTGTTCATATATTGTCATCTTTAGGGTTTTTCCTTTAGTCTATTGTCTATTGTTGGTTTTAAATAAAATATAAAAAAAAAAATTACACCAAAATATCACTTTTCTATATGAACATTATAGTATTGCAGGTGGCTGAGGCGAGGCACTGGAGATGCTGGCACGCACCTCACACTCGCTTCAGAACAATATTACTGTGCTACTACTGACCCTTGTAGGTTTAGCGCTTCTATTTTATAATAATAATAACAATAATAATGTGTGCTACTACTAACACTTAGCAGAGCAAATATTTCTTTGCATGTTTAGCCTACATATTGAGTATCTTCAAGTGTTGACAATATAGCCTGAGCTTACTACCACCTGCCGCTCACAAGACTGCCATCCCCACGAGCTCCTTTGGGGCGGGGCAGATGGCAGACCAGAGGCCTAGCTTCTCCCTGCGAGCCCCGTGAGGGCGGGGACTGTGGCTAGGCCGGGGGACAGTTGGTCCCAAAGATGAGGGGGTACTTGTACCTCCTTCCATGGGAGACTTAGGTCTCGTGACACTCCACAGATGGGGAGCCAAGGCCGGGTTACCACTCTTGGAAAAGACCCGGGCCGGGAGAGTACCAGCGAATAAAAAGAAAAAAAAAAGTGCTGACAAGCAGGGTCGCCTTGATTTATATTATTTTGCTTCATATCTCATTGATGGGGAAATGTAATCAAAAGTTAGTTTAATATGTTTATTATGCACCCCATACCCATCCTGTGGGCGGTAGTCAAAAGATTACAGAGGTACATAATTGGTCCAGGGACTGGACTCCAAAGTTTTGATAGCTGAGCAAGTTACAGAGGTAATGAACTCACAATTTACAAAGGTAATGAACTCACAATTTACAAAGGTAATGAACTCCAGGTAAGTCTGGTCACAATCATGACAAGTTACAAAGGTATTTACAGATTACAGAGGTACGTAATGGGTCCAGGGACTGAGCCCCCAAAGTTTTGATAGCTGAACTAGGTACAAAAGAATAAATAATTGTCATTGAAATCTACAGGACAGGACACGGGAGGCAAAGACATAGTTGTCAATTTCTTAAGAATATTACTAAGAACTTAATCCATGTCAATGTTATAGCAAATTTTTAAGTCAATGGCCTCCTTGACGGCCGTTCAGTGAAAAACACAAACTTGGTAGCCTCACCTGAGGAAAAAAGTTGTAGTAATAATAGCTTGCTCTGCTATAGCTCTTGTGGAAAATACTGTATATATTTTCCAGAAATACAGTAGTTATATGTAAATAGATGGCCATACTGTATTTAAAAGAATTATATTATGGAAAATGGGAAACTGGACCTGCACTTGCGCAGACAAGAGAGTCGCCATTGTTAATTTGAATTGGATACAACGTTATTGTAATGGGAAAGAATTTTCGTGCTCTAGAGGTTAAAATTGGGTTGACACCTCTCAAATAGGAGGCAAAATTGTTGGATGTGCATTCCTGCATAACTTGAGATATCAGGCGACTGGACAAGACAGCTCCAGGAACCTCAGATAAGTCTGTTATGTTATAACTCTGGCCAGTTGTTATTTTCATGTATAGACCCCTCAAGGAAGGTTCCTTGATGTTGGTGAGGGGCTCTTGATTTAGGGAATTGGATCTGTGCTCCAGTTCCCCGAATTAAGCCTGAATGCCTTCCACATCCCCCCCCCCCAGGCGCTGTATAATCCTCCGGGTTTAGCGCTTCCCCCTTGATTATAATAATAATAATTCATGTATAGACAGAGGTTTTCTGAGTATGATACACCCTGATTTCCAGTCAAATTGGTGAGTGTTATGATTGAGATATATTCTCCTTCTGTTATATAAATGTGTATTATATATAATCATTTTTTAATTTAATATACAGTCCACAAATTTATATATTTACCAGCATTCCTGGTGATGTATATTTCATTTAATTAATAGGTCCAGAGCAACTTGTGGATATGACAGTTGTAGGTATCGAAGGGGGACATTTTTTGCGACCTAGGTGTCCCAAATTCCTACTTGTCTAACTGATAAATAATAATTATCTATGTTCATTTACTGTTATGTATATAATGATACATCCAAGTAAATGTAATTTTCCACAGCTCTTTTATTTTGCATTTCCAACTATTAAAATAACCAGCAAGGCTCCAAACATACATTACCTTTGATAATTACTCACAAACAAAATTGGCAACTGACATGACCGTTCATTAACAAGGTATCAACATTAACATATTGTTCATTTTTTTCATCTTATACTTGTTTCCCTACCTAGGAAGGATTTATCGAAGACGGAAGCCTTCACACCCTAATTACCTCTCCAGTGTGGACCCACTGAGCTGACAGCCTCTCCATAGCACCTTGAATGCATATAATGTACTTCTCAATTTTCGGAACTCAAGTCCGGTTGTTTTCCTGAGTGTTTTCATGTTTATTTCTCTGCTCACACTCCAACATCACGTCAACTCCTGTAGATAGCTCGCTTCCAGTCTGGTCTAACAGGTTTACATACTGTACACTCAAAGCATTTAAACAATTCTTCCTATCGTTGATTTATTACTTTCATTCTACCACAATACGAATTCGTCATTCCTCTTACTGTACATAATGCTTGTGTAGTAGTGTATGTATTTCCTATAATTTTGAGGCTGTCAAGTGGATTGGTTGAGTAATGTGAGAGAGGAATTGTATGAGGTGAGGTGCCACTCTCTCCGGATTGGTCAAGTGGACATGATGCCCCCCGTTCACAACTCTGTAGTGAAATGATCGTGAACCGGACGAGTAAGTCTCTAGAACTGTCTTACAGAGTGCCTCAGGATAGTACTTACAAACACCATTGGTTGCACGCAGCAAGAGCACGGGACATGTAATTCTGGATATAACAGTTTGCCAATTATCCAGACCGAATAGCATAATAAAGCGACTGTGCACTCTGATGTCATGACACCACCTGTACCCACCATCAATACATCGTGCCGACCGTAGTAGTAAGATCTCGGCAGAATCCTCATCAATGCTAACGTCCTCTATATTTGATCCATATGTTCTTGCATTAATGAGACGCTGTATTGCTACATCTTTAGTGTGCAGTGGCTGAATCTTCTCGCTCGGTTTTGTCTTAGTGAGCATCTTCACCTCAGCTCTCCAGGTTGCAATAATATCCTGGCTGTGGTAGGGTAGCATGTAGTCCAGCTGGATAAGCGCAATTACATCTTCGGGAAACAAGGCTGTGTAGTAGTTAGCTATAAAGGCACCCATACTGTGCGACATAAAGGCAAACTTTTGCCACCCGAGTTTCGTAACTGCTAAACGAACATTAAGCAGGTAGGTCATGCAGTTATAATGAGCACCTGGAGGTAGGTGATCAGAAAGGCCATGACCAGGTAAGTCTAAGGTTAACACCTCCACCCCAGTGGGCAGAAGAGGCACTAGAGTATCAAAGGAGTTTGCATTGTCTAACCATCCATGTAGACAGAGTATCTTTAGGTGGTCGTTGGTAGTACCACCATCCACTACACAAGTCTTGCCTCTCAACACACCCCAGCCCACCTCAACACTCAACTCACTCCACTTCACTCCATTCTCCTGCATTTTTCACACTTCTGCAACAGAAAAGGAACAATCATTAACTGCCAAGTTAATATTATTTCCATTTATTTTACTTAAATATATTAATAGGTTTTGATTACATAAAAGCAAGAGAAAGTTATAAAAAGTAATATTATTTTAATCGCGAGGAAAGTTAAATCGGTAGTAATGTCCCGTGGCCTGGTAGGCAAAGCTCTTATCTCACATCTTATCTCTTATACACCGTTTGAGAAATGTCAGGAAATCAGGTTTGATCTGAGGAATGAAAGGATAGCTCTGATTCCTCCGATCAAGAGCCCTTCATCATCCAGGCACCTCCTTGGAAGGGTACACTATGTAATTGATGAAGCCCTGTCCTCTCTTTTTTATACCTCTCCCTCCTCTTATTTATACTGCCTGCTGCAGTTTAAAATGCAATTATGTATTTTCCTCTATTATAGCTGCATTTACACTTAATTGTATTAACGTGTATTTTCACACAGCTGTTCTCTGTTGCGAATTCTAATTTTTCGTCCACTACCACTTTACTGTGTACACAAAAGAGTGAAAAAGTTTGTGTGCGTCCTCGTGTACTTACCTATATGCGGTTGCCAGATTAATCCTGGCCTTTTAGGCCCTATCGTACCTTCTCTTAAAATTATGTCTGCTTTCACCACATCGGTACCCCCGTGGCCTGGTGGCTAAAACTCTCGGTTCACACGATGAGTTCCGGGTTCGATCCCGGCGAGGGTAGAAACATTGGGCGTTTCCTTATACCGATTGGCTATGCTCCCCACCAGTAAAATGGGTACCTGGGTGTTAGTCGACTGGTAGCTGAGCTAGTCACAAAGGTAATGAGCTCCAGGTAGATCTGGTCACAATCATGGCAAGTTAACAATGGCAGACAGTAACTTTCGATCAAAGGAAGGGAGAAAGGTTCAATTCCACACACCTTTTACAAAACATAATGATAATGTGACGCTCTTCACTAAATATTTAACATTCAGTACGTATTATGAAAACTGGTACTCACCTGCAACTTATGCCCCAACGTTGAGGTGCAAATACCTATTTTGACTTTGCAAGGGGGCGAGCACTGTCAGTCCAGCCTCTTAACGTTGTAATATAACTGTGTGAGCAATAATAGTGCCAGAGTTAACTTGGTGCTGTGGCAAGGGAAAGAAAGATGTATCACGCTGTACTGCTGCACTAGTGACGGTGGACCTTGATCCATCATGCCATCTCCACACAACGTTACATTATATTTATACTTGAATAAATGCACGGGAACTTACATTTTCCACTTTTGAAGATTTTCTTCGCATAGGCCACAATTATTTAATCACTAATAAATCCCTCTTTCTAACATGAAGATGCAATTTATGTCCCTGTTACACACAGGCATGGCATGTATAGTGGTGAGACAGTGGTGTTGGAGTCCACTATGATCCTTGTAGAGGTATTATTAACACCATTTTTACCTTAAAAATCAGTTTAACTAAACGTCTTGCCAACTTACTATATTCTTGGAAAACATTAATTATTGTAACAAATGGAGTGCTAAACCCGTGAGGTCATCAGCTTTGGGATCGCCAGAGGACCACGCATTCTACAATCGTTTAATATTGATTATATGATGATTGCTGCAACTGTAAGCCAGCTGCAGCAACCTTCAGTTTGCTAATCATGATGAGAGGGATTCTTTCAGTGGGCTTTATATTCCCAATTATTTTTGCATTAAGAGGAAAGCGTTAAAACTGCAGGGGTAATCAGCTTCTGAGGAATGAAAGACAATCAGGTTCGAGCCAAGGAAGGGAAGTTTTGTTTTATTTTTAGGTCAAGAAACCCCTTCACCACATTAATGGAACCTTCCTTGACTTGGTTTTCATATTTGTATTTTCTAAAGGAGTACGGGATTCAAACTCCTGTAAGGTCAATTATATTTTTGGACAATTCTAAACCCGTATGGGTCAACCAGGTTCGATCCAGAAGGGGGAGTATAAGTTCAGTTCCTTGGATAAAGAGCTCATCCAGCATCAAGGATGCTCTCTGAAGGACAAACTAGGGTAGAGATTTATGTAAAACCCATAGCTGCTGCCAAATTATTATTATTATCAAAAAGAAGCGCTAAGCCACAAGGGCTATACAGCAGCTCTGCCAAAGTTACAAATGCTTATTCCTTTTTATAATTTTATTAACAAGGCAGCACCAGAACTAGCTAGAATGATGTAATTATGTGGAATTCCTCATTACCTTTATACCTATTCACTTTATTTTTTTAAAATTTTACTGAAAGTGGTAATCCAGATTGGAATTGGAAGTAATCAAGTTTGATTGGTGATAGGGAGGGTTAGCTTTTAATTCCATGGATCAAAAAAATCATCTGCATCAAGGCCCCTCTCCTTAGTATTTACTCGAGTTGTGAGTGGCATCCCCCCATGGTTAATGATGGGGTCTTTTTCAACTTGCTGTTATGATTAATTTGCTTTTTATGTTACTGAAGTCACATTGTAATAAAAAAAAAAGTTCATTAATAGTATTCCAAAAAACTTTTTTTTATTTTGTTCCAAATGTCACCCATTACTTGTTCTAAATCATGGGTCACGTTACATAACTCATGAAATTACTAAGAAAAACTTTCTAAGGTTGCGTATGCAAATTTGATCTCTGTAAACCGTGTATGGGTGAGGTTAGAACCATGGCGAGTGAGTCGTAAATCTCCAGGCCAGTGCCAAGCACTGGTCTGGAGTTTACCCCACCTGTACCTAGTTTGCAGTCGTGTTATTACAATTTCGTCAGTCCCGTCTATCTATCTTATCAAAGCAGAGCCCCTCACCAATGACAAGCAGCCATCCTTGAAGAACAATGTGGTAATGCTCAGGCTCTATATAAAATATTTGCTGAGGGTGAAAAACATGATCATAAACCCTTCACATCACCATAGAGTGGTGGGGGAGGGTTGAGCAAGCTGTGTAATCAGGAATATAGAAAGCTGAGGATAGGCCTTATGAGAAGGAATTTGAAACTAAAGTGAAGGAAGATTAGATGTAAGCATCTGAGATTATTATTATAATCAAGGGGGAAGCGCTAAACCCGGAGGATTATACAGCACCTGGGGGGGGATGATGTTTACCTGGAGAGATTTCCCGGGGGGTCCAACGCCCCCGCGGGCCCGGTCTGTGACCAGGCTCCTGGTGGATCAGAGCCGGATAAACCCAGGCTGTTGCTGCTGGCTGCACGCAAACCAAGTACGAGCCACGGGCCCGGCTGATCCGGAACTGACTTTGGGTGCTTGTCCAGTGCCAGCTTAAAGGGACTGCCAGGGGTCTGTTGTTGTGATAAGATAAGATAAGATTTCGTTCGGATTTTTAAACCCGGAGGGTTAGCCACCCAGGATAACCCAAGAAAGTCAGTGCGTCACGGGGGACTGTCTTAACTTATTTCCATTGGGGTCCTTAATCTTGTCCCCGGATGCGACCCACACCATTTCGACAAACCCAGGGTACCTATTTGCTGCTAGGTGAACAGGACAACAGGTGTAAGGAAACGTGTCGAAATGTTTCCACCCGCCGGGAATCGAACCGGGCCCTCTGTGTGTGAAGCGGGAGCTTTAACCCCCAGGCTTAATTTGGGAACTGGAGCACAGATCAATTCCTAAATCAAGAGCCCCTCCCCAACATCAAGGAACCTTCCTTGAGGGGTAATTAAGCATCTGAGAGCACCTGGAATTGATTATCCCCTCAAGGAAGGTGTCCCCTACAGGAGCTGTATAATCCCAAAGAGTTTAGCGTCCCCATGATTATAATAATAATAATACGGGAAAATTGGTCATACAACATTAGATTAGACAAACATTATTCGACAGGTGATTTGTGGAAGATAGGTTGTGGTTTGGCGTGTACATGCTCTTTTTTTTTTTCTTTAAGTAGCTTTATGATATGCAGAACAAATGTGAATTAGAGGCACAATCTTCAAGTTTGTAGGGGCTTTATGATTAAGTGTCATTGTAGATGAGGCATTTCATTTTATAATTATTATAATCATGGGGGAGCGCTAAACCCTTAGGATTATACAGTGCATGTGAGAGGGGATTCCCTGGAGTTTACCTGGAGAGGGTTTTTGGGGGATAAATGCCCCCACGGCTCGGTTGAGACCGGGCCCTCGTTGGTGGATCAGGGTCTAATCAACCAGGCTGTCACTGCTGGCCTGGTTGGTCAGGTACTGACTTCAGGTGCCTGTTTCCGTGCCTTCTTGAAGACAGCCAGAGGTCTATGGTATCCTCCTTATGTATGCTGGGAGGCAGTTGAACAGTCTTGGGTCCCAGACACTTATTGCGTTATCTCTATGTACTCGTGATGGAGGTATTCAGGCTCAATTCAGAGAGCTGGAGCACAGATTCAGTTCCCTAGATCAAGAGCCCCCCACCAATATCAAGGAACCTCCTTCAGGGGTAAGGGGCATTCTCAAGCTTTCTGATTATTTCTTAAAGCGAGGTTCCTGCCCAGGGTTAGTGGAGAGATGTACTCGAAGGAGTATTAGAGGTTCATTACTGTAGCAGCCATAGGACTGGAAAATTGCACTATCATAATCCTTGCTTGACACATGTGAAAAAATGTCTATTTGGACATTATTATTATTATTATTGTACTGTGTATATTGTATAATCTATAAACAACCCAAAAGCAGACTGATTTAGGTAGGTCAGATTTAAACCCAAAATTTTAAGGGCTGCTATGCACAACAAATATAGGAGCGCTCCTAAGCACTTTGCCAAGACTCCACTTTCATAGGAAGTTCCATGTCAAGTGTGGCTCAAGGTATGTATTTGCAGAGACATTAATTTTCCCCCATATACTAAATGTAAATGCATTTGGAGGAAAAGCATGTCTTTTGGGTGTATTTATGTTTTCATTTGTGATTGACACCCCAAAGGGAAACATCTCAAGGGGACAACACCTCAGATATAGATATCAACAAGACTCAGAGTACTGTGGGATAGTAAACAAGGGTTGTATTTGTATATTGATATTAGCACTTTTTATACATTATGACCATATACTTTAATAGGCTGTTCTCCAGCCTCCTAATTGCAATACACGTAAAGAAAACAAGTTTTATGTTCATTTGCCTCCCCTTCCGAACTTGTAACTCAGCAAGTCCCAAAAACACCCAAAATTTTTTGATTTTATTAGTATATTTTTTCCCTTTCTCATCAACATTCCCAAATTTAAAACAGACACCTATGAGGGTTTCTATTGATGACAAAATTTCTAAGAATTAAATATGAATCTATGAATGATGATGAAAGTATTTTCTTTTTTGGGGGTTTTCTTCTTTTTTGGGTCACCCTGCCTCGGTGGGAGGGCGGCCGAAATTGTTGAAAAAAAAAAAAAAAACTAAGGAATGAAATGGAGCTTGCATTACAGACATACAGTATTTCAAGAATGTATGTAAATAAAAACACTGATAAAACCAAGCAAAATACAAATGAAAATGCCTTTCTAATGTTCATAAAAACCTTAACAGAATGTAATGCCATACACTTAGTTTTAAAAAACTTCAAATGCAGTTACACTGGAAGACCTATGGCAAAGATGATGGACAAAAACTCTGGTACGGTAAAATTTGCTTTTGCCACGGGGTTTTTT